TTTGCTTCTTTTTCTGCTCGGGGACTTATTTTTCTTTCTTTTTTGCTTGTTGTTGCTTGTCCCTTTGTCTTCTCTCTTCCTCTTTTCACCCAGTGGATTGTCAATCTTTTGGTTGATTTCCTCTTCGGTGCCGATGAATTGATCAACCAACTTGAGGAACTCGGTGATGTTCTTCAGTTTGCCTGCTACCACGTGCCACTTGAACTCTCTATGGGTGATCCCCTTCTTCGCTACAGTGAGGTGCACCGCTGGATCGAGGTTCGGTTTCTGCAGGCACGTCTCATTGAAGCGCTTGATATAGTTTCTGATAGACTCTCCTTCCTTCTACACCATGTTCAGAAGGCTCTCCTGTGACTTCGGTTTGCAAAATGAGCCTAGCTCTTGATGGAGCCTAGCTCTTTTTTTGCTTGCTATTGCTTGTCCCTTCGTCTTCTCTCTTCCTCTTTTCACCTAGCGGATTGTCAATCTTCTGGTTGATTTCCTCTTCGGTGCCGATGAACTGATCAACCAACTTGAGGAATTCAGTGATGTTCTTTGGTTTGTTTGCTACCACTTGCCACTTGAACTCTCTGTGGGTGATCCCCTTCTTCGCTGCAGTGTGGCACACCGCCGGATCGAGGTCTGGTATCTGCAAGCACGTCTCATTGAAGCGCTTGATGTTGCTTCTGATAGACTCTCCTTCCTTCTACACCACTTTCAGAAGACTCTCCTATGACTTCGGGCACTTTTTACTGGTGATGAAGTGTGCTATGAACAGGTTGGGAAACTGAGCCTAGCTCTTGATGGAGCTTGGTGTGAGGTTCCTATACCAGGTCCGAACTACTCCTCTGAATGTGGTGCAGAAGGCCACACACATGCAGGCATCGTCAACCCTACCGAGGTGCATCTGAGACTGGAAGGCATCCACGTGGTCAGTGGGGTCGAACGACCCATCATACTTGTCTAGAAGGGGGACCTTGAAGTCCTTTGGTATCGGGTCCACTAGGTGCTTGGGTGACAGGTGGGATGGCTGGCTCAGGAGAGCAAGCGTAGTCTTCGTCACCACCGAGCTCACCTCTTCTCTTTCTTTGGTCCGCTCCACTGGCTGACTAGGCCTTGTTTGAGGACTGTTTCTGGCTGAAGATCGATGAGTCTTGCGACGCTGCCGCTATTTCTTCTTCGCTGGATCGGCATTGGTGTTGCTGACCTCAGTCTGGTCTAGTACCTCGACCCTGGTTCTCTCGTACTGCCGAACACTATCGCGAGGTGGATTGGGGTTCCTTCTCGCTAACTCCTCCTGGTTATGAAGCCTGCGCTGGTCATGGTGAGGCACCAAGGGGGCTTGCCTCGAGTCTACGCCCTGGGCTCTGAATTGATGATCTTTTCTTTGTAACCTGTCGTTCTCAGGCCGCGAGTGTTGCGGATGGTTGGCTCTGTCAAGCTACTTGACTTCAAGCCTGTCTCCTGAGTTCCCCCTCTGAGAGACCGGGGAAGTGCGTTGCCCGTCCGTCTTGCCTCGTGGTGGAGTCTGGTTCCTGGGAAGTATTGATACCTACGATGTCTCCTCACCCCGATGGGGAGATTGATGGACATCCTACACGGATCTATGCGGGCTTCGATTCCACCCCTTACATTGAGTGGTATTTCGAGGCAGAACCGGTTGTTGGCTCGAGTGCAGGAGTGGAAATTGGTACTAGTAGAGAAAGTATTGCTGAAATTACTGGACTTGTTGCATCTGGATCTGCACTGTCCAGACACATTGAATTTGGTCATAGAACTGAGAGTGCCTGACCCCAAGGGGAATCACAGATGGCTCTAAGAAGGCGGTGCCCACCCGGGGGAGCAGGACACTCACTTGCGGGGTGGTCTGCGACATAGACAATGATGGGACCCCCGAAGCTATGAGGGGAATGGTAAACTGACCGGTACACACCATAGGACCTTGAGGGAGAGTTGATTGTTGATCTTGCCCCCCGGTGACGTTAATGTTGATACCTTTCCCGATGTTGCTGGAAGAGTCCATTGAGAGTAAGATAGAGGTTGGACTGATCTTTCAATCAGTTCCCACAAACTGTGCCAAATGATGGAGCACGATCTGGATGCTCCTAGCTGGAGGATGATTTTTAACTTGGATGCGTGGTGAGCTGGTTCGGTCTGCAAAACAGTGAAGCTCAGAGAACCCGGGGTGGTTAACCCGGCGAGGTCGCTCCGCTACTTAAGTTTGTATTGCAATCTGAAAGTTGAATGATAAGTGTACTAGTGAGCAAATAATCACGTGTACCTGGGCCCTGGAAGGGTTGTTGCCCTTATATAACTGAATTGCCATGGGTTTCACGAAACGGTTTCGAGATCTTCGGCCTGAGTTGATGATATCCGTTTTCATTTTAGTTGGGGACTAACATGTTAGTTAATGAAGTCTATCATCTCCGCCCAATCCAGGCGGGGAGAGGATAAGGACAACCGTTATGTGGCGTGATCCCATGAGGTTCGGAGTCCGTTGGGAAGTTTCTAGAGTTATTTTTGTCATTTCGGTTCTTGGGCCCCGAACTGGATTAGGTACCGAGGTGCCTTTATGCCAAGGTGACTGAACACCCGAGCTCTAAAAACAGCTGAGTAGGCTGATCTTGCTAAGTTGTCATATTTCGGGCAGATCGCGTCCCCATGACCTTTACTTATTAGGTCGTGCCAAATTACCCCTCATCAATTGCCCCCCACTCCTCGTGTTAGGGGTCCTGACCCGGCGTGGGGAGTTCATGACTAGCCCAAGTGGATTTGGCAAAAGTTTATGTGATGTTATTATTAATAATTAATCAATCAATTATTATGATAATAGTTAATGAATTATTAATAATATGCATTATTTAATTGTAGAAATTATCAATTAATAATTAATGATTATGATTAATTATTAATTATTAGTATTAAGTATTAATTATTAATTAATTGTTAATTATTAAATATATTTCATTAATTAATTAATAATAGTAATTCATAATTAAGTAATAATTAATTATTATTACTTATTATAATTAATTAATCAATGATTATTAATAATAGTTAATTAATTTTTAATAATAAATATTAATTAATAATAATAATTATTAATTATTAATTGGTAATTAATGAATAATCATTAATTTATTATTTATTATTAATAATTTTTAATAATTAATATTAGGTAATATTTTTTATAATATTTTTATAATATTGTTTATTTATTGAATTATATAGATAAATATAAATTCTCTTATATGGGGTTAAATTGGACATTTGACATTTTTCAGAATTCAGAACAACATTATCTACATTTAGAGTTCAGAGGAAAAAAAAGTTCACTAATACCAATTAGTGAACGAACAGGTCCTTAGAGTACAATTACATACAACTACCACCACGTTACTACATCATGATGATTGGTTTTGGGGTTGGACTCAATTTAAATCAAAATCAATTTGGATGGATTGGATGGACCAATAACACATTGAATTAGACCAGTCCAGACTTAATGATCCAAAATGTTTATGAGATTGAATTGTATCTAGTCCATTAGAAATGGATTTATGGTGGATTGGATTGGATTGAACTAATATTCAATCCCTTGATAAAAAGATAAAGAATAGATGTCAATGGACCAAATTTGTGTTGAAATCAATCAAATTTAAAACCAATTTAAGCATATTGATGGGTCCGAACATTAAAAATGGCCTAGTCCAAAATGATCTTAAACTCATTAGATTGAGTTGGACCCGATCCATTTGTAATAGACTCATATTGGACCAAATTAGATTAGACCGAATCCAACCCAATTGATACCCCGACTTTTGGGAGGGATTCTGCAATTAGAAAGAAGCGGCGATGGCTGAGCATGCATGTTCAGTTGGAGTAACTTCACTCAATAGTCATAAAAATGGCATTTTCTTGTGTGCATTCAGGATTTATACCAAACATAACTTATGCATTTTACATGGTGGGGTAGGGTTTGTTGGGAAATGGGGCACTAAAACTTGGAAGAGAAGTTTTGCGGCACGTCTGAAGACATTGTCTTTAGAACATTATTTGTTCCACTCAGTTTCATTGAGTTTGCTGTTGGGTTAGTAGCAAATTCATTCCTAGGATACAACGGAGCTTTGGGAGAGAATCTGCAACTAACAAAGTTGAGGAGTTTCTTGAGAAACCTTGTATGAGATAGTAGTAGACCAGACTAAGAATGAAAAAGAAAGTGATTTTCTCGAAATTGTGTATGGAATGCTTGATTCACGCTGATTAAATAGTTTCTAAAGAGTTATAAAGCAGAGGAAGGTGCCGGTTCAGGGAAAGACATTTTGAACAATCACAATTTCAAACATTGTGACTGTAGAAAAGATAATTAACAGCTAATGACGGTTAAGTTTGAATTGTAACTCTTGATCACACTCGATCAAGTAATGGGCATTGATCGCATCAACAGTGAACATTGCACCAAAAAGCCAAAGCGAACTCCACACCCAATCAAATCGTGCCCATCAATCATACTAACGGCGAGCAAAGTGTGCCTCATTGCCCTGCACACACACACACATTGTACGGTAACAGGTCTCCATACTCTCCTCTTTTATACTAAAGAATTGTAAATCAGCTCCTATTAAAAAACCCATAAAACTTTTTGTAATTTTACAATGGAACAAGTTAAAACTAGGTTTAATAAAAGAAAAGCTATTTTTCAAAACATGTGTTCATATTTATTTTGTCATATAATTGACCAATCAAACGATTTAATCTTTAATGAGAAATCCAATAGGGTTCCTTCGGAAACGCAAGAAGCTGCTGTGCGGAAGCCCTCCCAAACGGGCACGAAGACTGAAAGCTTCCGGTTTTGTAAAAGGAAAATTGAAACTCAATGAGAAGCGTCGGATCAACAAACTTGGGATGGCTGGAAGTTGTTGGCTAGCTCGATCCGTTTACTTTGTACGTAGCCAATAAAATCGAGCCACCTCATTTATCATTGCAGCTCCTTTTAAATCTGGTTCGCTCTCTGGCTGAAAATTATTCAAATATTTTTGAAATCATCCGCAATCGTTTGGGTTTCACGAAGAAATGGCGAAAGAAGCGAGTGCAGTTCCCGCCGTGACGAAGAAGTCGAAGTCTAAATCTTCAAAGCTCCCTTCACCTCTCCATCCCCCTTACTTTCAGGTTGTTTTCTCCTTATTTCCTCCACTTCCTCATTTTTCATTTCTCGTTTTTGTCTAATGTTGGGGGTTGTCTTTCCAGATGATTACCGAAGCCATATCTTCGCTGAAAGATCGAACGGGTTCGAGCCAATATGCCATTGCTAAGTTCATCGAAGACAAGTACAAAACAGAACTTTCCCCAAATTTTAAGAAGGTGTTGTCTGTGCAGCTGAAAAAATTCTTGAAATCGGAGAGGTTGGTGAAGGTCAAGAACTCATTTAAGATCTCTCCGATCGAAAAGGCAAAGTGCTTTGCATTTGAGATCAAACAAAAGCAGAAGAAGAGCAATGCGGAGGGGAAGAGTGGAACGGAGAAGACCGTAAAGAAGAATAAGGGGGTGGAAACAGCGAAGATGAGGGTGTCGAAGAAGCTATCATCAACTCCCACGGGTAAAAGCAAAACATTGATGCCTAAGGGGAAGAATTCGGCGAAATTGGTGAAGACGAAGGGGCTAAGTCAGGTTAAGACTCCCGATGGTCGGAAGAAGAAGGTTTCAACACCTAAGAAAAAGGCTTCCATCTCTGTGTCTAGTAAGTCTTCGAAGCCCACTCCTAAGAAAGCTCGGAAGGCCTAAAGATGTATATCCCTTATTCTGATTCCTTTCCTGTAAATGGTTTTAGTAGTGGAATTGGAGTTGGTAATTTATATAGTGGAAGTTTTATCCCTTGGAAATGTTATTATTGATGGCGGATTTGAATAGGAAATTACTCGTTTTGTCTCTGCAAATTTTCAGGTTGCTTGGGACTGGGTGTTTACTACCGTTTCGTTTATGTTAATGTGTCATGCCTGCTACATCAGCAAATAAACGGTATCGTTAATAAAAATGACAATTAGTGGTCCTGATTTTTAAGAAATTGCTTTTTGTAATAATTTCAATACTCCATTCAAATAAGCACTTCTCAATTGCCTTATCAATGGCTTCACTTTTATGACTAGAAATTTGACAAAAGTTTAATATTCTTTAGTTCAATTTCCAATCATTATTAACAAAATGAGTCGTTAGATACATATATTTGATTCTTTGTAAGAATTGCTTTGTATCAGTGCTTAGGCAAATCCTTCTGCAATTAGTCTCAAAAAACTTTTTAGATTCAACCTTTCTTTCACAAATATTTCATAGCAATCTCATGTTATTCATGAAGGAACATAGAACCTTGGTTGCATATTACTACAGATATATCTAAACCCTTGACCCTCAACAAATTTGAAAGGAAGTTCATCAACAATGGTCATGTATGCTAATGCTTTTCTAATCCCATTTTGATCAAATTTCCAAGTACTCAAGGTACCTTTGATTTCACTCTGCCCTTCTTGGTCCTTTGAAGATGCTTGAAAATTCAGTTCTATTTGCTTAGAACTAGGTTGATTGACATTGCTAAATGGACACTTTGGACACCTACCCAAATGCCCTCTAAGTGTGCTAGTGCCATTGAGCCTAGGATCACATTTGCACACTTGACTACAATAATTGCACTTACATTTATGTGGACCATCACTTGTGTAGAACTTTATAAAATGCAACCATACATCTGCTCTCTCGTTCATTTTCTTCCTTGTTTTGTGAAGTTGCATTTGTATTCGTCTCAAGAGTTTATTGAGAGCCATACTTGTCCTCTTCTTGTTTGGGGAGTGTCACCGTTTTTCGACATCTAATAAAACAACACAAGTTCACAAATTAAATAAAAATATGAATATTTAATAAAAAATTTTAACTTGCACTTCAAGATCCACAAGCTGAGGGTGACATTGTTGTGAAAAGTCTAACCCAACATCTAAAACGGAAAACATCTAAACCATTATTAAATGTAAAATGGAAAACATTTGAAAACCATTATAGAATTCCCTAATTAATAAAGCATATACTTTTTACTAATAAATCATAAATATGTTAATCATGAATTATATTAACAATTATGACCTAAACAATTTTTGAACAAAGAACAATAGAATATATTTTATATACAAATCTGTTAATAAAATTTTAATAACATTAAATCAGTTTATTGTTGAAAATTTAAATGTATACAATGCATAACAAAACCAAAATAATCCTAAATTTTTGTCCAAAATTCTCATATAAAACATCTGCATTTTCATGTAAAATAATCAATTAAATAAATCTCAACATTAATAAAAACATTCTCATATAAAACATCTGCATTCTAATGCTAAAAACATGCATATATAAACATATAATTAAAAAGTAAATAAATCCTAAAATTTTTTGCCCAAAATTCTAAAATTGTTTGATATTTTAGAATTTTACCTGTCTCTCAAGCCCGAATTCGAATTTTGTTCTTGTATTTCTAGATTTCCAGTTCTAATTATGCTCCTATGTGTTCACAATTGAATGTACCTCACTGATTCGGGAATTTCTTTCTCAAATAGTAGAATAAACTAGAGAGGAGATGGGAAGATGATAAAGACTAAAGATATTGCAGCAGCCAGTCGGACTCGGGTGGATAAGTTTCAGATGAACAGAGGAAGAGGGTAGACTACGGCGAAGGGGTGTTTTGTTAGGTTTGGAAGAGGGTAGACTACGGAGACGGGAGCAGCGAGTCAGCGACAGTGGTGGAGTGGCCGGAGGTGAGTCGATGAATAATAAGAAGAGAGAGAGAGAGAGAGAGAGAGAGTCTCGGCTCTGTCAAGAGTGTTGACTGTCGTTCGTTTGGTTCATAAAATTTAATAAACCAAACCGGAAACCGTAAATCATATTTTTTAAATGGGTTTTTTGCAGAATATCAATAAAAGAATAAAAGATAATATTTTTAAAAATAATTAAAATAAGGTAATTTTTTTTTTAAAATATCAAAAAAGGGCAATACACTGTTCATTGCTTTCATCTGCCCTTCGTTCTTTGCTCTCTCGCACGAAACCAGCAGAGCCCCAGAATCGACAATCCCGGTAGGAAGACATCTTGGCTGGAGCTGTCGTGGGATGATGAATGGTTAGAAGAAATGGCAGCTGTTGGCGACGAAGAGAGAGGGTGAACGAGGACGGAGACGTTCATGCCGTTATAGCAACCGTTGGGCCAGATGAAGTAATAACGTTTCGCCTTGTCAAGCGGCATGAAGTCCTTGCCGCTGCTCCAGTTCTCGACAGTGCAGTTGTCCTTATCCGTCTCGTGAGATCTGAAGGTGGGGTTTTATCAGGGATTGCGAGGAGGGGGGAGGCATTAACAGATGAGGTTACCGATGTAGAAAGTGTGGTTGTTGGCCCAGAGTGTATAGTTGATTCTAGGGTTCCAGCCGCGGCTGGCTCCGACAATGTGGTCAGTTTCGCTGACGAGGGTGATGATGGTAGCGGCGACGCATACGAGTAAGAGGAGGCGGAAGAAGGGGAGACGGAGAGATGAAACCGGTGTATTCGCTTCTCTCTTACAATCATGCAGAGGAAGACGATGAACAGTATCATTGCCCATCCTTCATATTTTTCATAAAAAGTTATCTCATTTTTATTATTTTATAAAAATATTATCTTTTATTGATATTTAGGACAAAAAATTACCCTTATATGCCAGAACCCTCTTTTAAATTCATAAAACCGAACCAAACCAAACCACAAATTCGGTTTGCTTCGGTTGGATTTTACGGTTTAAACCGTATAATGAACACCCCTGACCCGAAACAACTCATTGATTGCTCAGTGCTCAGTCTAAGAATTGCAGGGTCAAAATAGGTTCAAGTCGTACAATTATTAAGTTCCATGCATTAATCAATATAACTGCCTTATACGCTTCAGCTTCAAAAGATCTGACGCAAACCGGAATATGACTATAGTATCTAAACATTTCAGTTCAATTATTGTACTAACAGCTAAACATTTCAGCTCAAAAATTAGAATCAATTTGTAAGGCCATGCATATATAGACATATTTCCAAAAAAAACAAACAAAAGCATATACAGAAATATATTTGAAACAAAACTACAAAGTATAGAAAACAGAATTGATTGTTTGATTCAAATCCCAAAACCGGATGAAACAAAATCAAATAGTTTGGTTTTTTGGATTATGTAGACTGAACTAAACTGTAAACCATATATAATATAATGTATCTAAAATTAAATATATAACAAATTCTTTTATTTTATAATAAATAATAAAATAAAAGTTTAAATTTTATAATAAATTCTTTTATTTCAAACCGTATTAGAAATCACACTAAACCATATTATTACAGCTTAATCTAATTTGATTTTTAGACTAAAACGGTTTAATTTAATTTGAAATTTTCTGAAAACAGTAATTTATTGGACACCCTTAATATTGTAGAATTCAATAAATGGACAGGGCCAAGCTCATCAGACTTTGGCCCTGGCGCCCCAGGCTAATCAGAGAGCTACCAAAGTGATTTCTTTCACGGTTTGGTTTTACCTTTGACTTTCGAGATTGTATAAAAGACAAATCCAAACGATTTCAAGATTCAACGCACAGCCACACAATCATGCAGCTATTGTTTTTATTGAGTTGCTCAATATTAAGTCGAGATTCCCACGTGAAAACAACAAGGAGAAAAGTTGCAGGAGGGCCCATATCCACATAAATAGCTGGGTTTGGCATTTGCCAAAGTTAATTTGCATTCCTACTACTGCAGGAATCCAAAGCATGCATAGACCGGCCTCCATATATAGTCCATTCACCATAGGATGTGTGGAGTGTGGCTTTGTTCGTTGTTGCGTGTATCCTGGAGCCTTAAAATCTTGAATTGAGTTAATGAATAATGCCATAATGGTATAGCAGCCTCAGGCCCTCGGCCATCATGCTCGTTGTCCGTTACTGAGGTACGTAGGTCAAGGATAAGACTTAAGAGAGCAATGGACCAAACCCAACCTTGTTCACATTAGCTGGATTGTTCCAGCATTGACGCGGAATCCAATCTTGCAATCAGCATTTTGGGGGAAAAAGGGATAGAGGGGAAAAGTAATCAAACGCAAATATGAGATGTACTGCACACATCTGTGAATGATGGTTTGAAGCTAATAAATGACTCAGTCTTCATCTAGATTACAAAAGTTCAAATTATGTGTGGAGGAGGAAAAATAAAAATGTAAGAGTTTATTGTGTCTTGATGTCCCCACTAGATGAAATTCAACTTACTTGATATTAGAAACTACCCAAAAATTTCAAAAAGCTTTTGAAAGATATGAGAAGCATGATCCTTACTTTGGAACTGAACTTGGTAAGGATGAAGGGATACTACTTTAAGATGCTGATTGGGATATGGTTAGGCACCTGACAAAATTGTTGGACTATGCAATCAAGAGAATGGTGTCAAAGTGATGATGTCCATTTTAGTCCTATGGCTTGGAAAATGAGGGACAAGTGTAACAAATATTGGGGGAACCCAGAGAAATTAAATGTGACATTATTCATTCCACTGGTGTTTTATCCTAGATATAAATTTGATTATTTAGAATTTGGGATCTCTCAAATGTATAAAACTGATAAAGCATTTGCAGTAAACAAAAGTGTGAAGCAAAGCTTGTATGCTTTGTTTAAGGAATACAGTAATAGTTTGTCTTTTCTTCATTATTTCATGTTCATGATTTTATACTTTCCATTGTATTTTGATTTATTTTAATTTTCTTGGTATACGGATATTAGCACTATCACATTGGCCCCTATTGTCATTGATGTTCAAGTGATCCAGGTAAGTATTCTTCATGCTTCTGGATATGTGGATGAGTGATTCATTTTGAAGTGACCAAAATACTATCTTTTGGATATGTAATTTCTCTATGCTTAAAGAGTTCTGCACTTCAAAAAAACACTTTTTGAATTTGTCAAACTCTGTTATTCTTGTTTTATTAATTAGTTTTTCTTTATACTAGTTTTGTAGTCCAAAGAAAGCATAGAATGATGTAAAGTCCTCAAACCATATTAGAAATTGCACCAAACCGTATTTAAACAGTTTGGTTTGGTCTGAGAATTTCCCAAACCATAATTTGCTGATTTGATTTGAGAAATTCTTCAAACCTCACCAAATCGGACTGCGAACACCCCTAGATCGGGTTGGTCAAACTTGTCCTTGATGTCAATTGGACTACATTTGGTTCAATCTGATCCAATCCATTGTGAATCTGTTACAAATGAATCAGGTCCAATCCAAACAATGAATATTTTTAACCATTTTGGACCGATCCAATTCAACATCTGGACCATCCAATCTGTTCAAATTTGTTTTAATTTAAATTAATTCTAATGCAAACCTGATCAATTGACACCGATATTTTATCTTCCATCGATGGACTAGATATTGACTCGATCCAATATAAATTCATTATGATTAAATCAGGTCCAATCCAATCTAATAAATACTTTAGACCATTAAACCTAGACTGGTCAAATTCAATGTGTTGATGGTCCATCTAATCCGTCCAAATTAATCCAATCAAAACCAATTAACACTCCTAAATACCATCTATTTGTTGAATCCGAATTGCTATTTATTAGGTGGCGCCAGGCTGAGGGCAACAAAAGACAGACTGACAGCCAAGTATTAGAATCGACAGAACCACCTGATCCACCATGGAGACAAAATTGTAATTATTCAGTTGTTTTACTACTTGGGCGCGTTGGGGTCTTACAGCTGCAAATGCAAATGGATCAGATTCATTTCATTTCAAACCTTACTTATTTAAGACAGATTTAAATACCCTTTTAATCATTTAATCAGATTGAATCCAATTAAATTGGATTATTGATATTTTAATATGATGGAATTCGGATCTTTTGGATTTTTATTGGACAGGATTCGGATAATGTCCCTATCCGATTTTCATCCAAACCTCTTTTTTTTTTTTTCAACCCAATTTTTTAGGTAAAGTGAAAGATACCGAGTGCCCAATTTTATTCTTCCAATGGGTTATCTATTGGTTTGAAAAGAAAAGGCCCAAGCTCAAAGTGTCATCCATGTGATGTCATTTTCTTTAAAGGTCTCCATCCATTATCATCGTCAACGTGAAAGAGATGATGTGAGTGAACGTTCAAATATTTTGAAATACCTCTCTAGTTACATAATTAATTAATTATTTTTATTGGTTTTATCACTAACTTAATTAAAGAGCAAGATAATTTACGTCACTTTCTACCGAGCAATTAATTGTAAAGCCACGAACTATGATCGCCATTGACCTTTGGCTGGTTGCGTGGTTACGTATCCATTCCCACTTCAATCAGGGTTGGGACTTCTTTGACATATTTGGAGAGTGTTGTCCCTCATTTACGCTATGTTTGGTTTGAAGAAAAAGGTATGAAAACCTTTACAAATTACCTTTTTTTTCTTTTCCCTATTTTTTTTTCTCGTAATTAAACGCAGCTTAGGAATAGGAATGGGTCGGATTCGGTATCACCGATTGCTTGAGCTTGATCTTGATCCAATCTGACTCAATAATATGTATTTTCCGAATTTGATCCACTTGTGGTTCAATATAATATCAACATGTTTAAGTAGGAATTTGTTTTATGGCTGTCAATGTGTCTTCCTCCATAATCAGAAGAATGATCAAAGAAACATGAAAAGAAGTCTTGAGCTTTAAACCTAGATCAGATGTCAGAACAAAGTGCAAGAATACAAACATGAAAATCGAAACCCAATTTGGGGCTGAAGAACCAAAACCGTAAATGCAGGCTCTGAATTTGTTTTGGATAATGTAAAAATCACTTTGTATCATTGTCACTTCCACTTGAAACATTCTAGGATGGTAAATACAAATTTTATGAGTACATAGTTTTACTTTCTACCAGAAATGCTTTGAGTTATCAATACAACATTTAGTATATATCATTGTTGTTTCTTAAGGCAACGTCAAATTTAATGTTCCTACTATTATAAGTATCAACACTCAACCCAATGCCTCAATTTTTTTAATAGAATTGGTTATCTAATGCGACTTAATAAGACCATTTCTAAAAAAAATTGTATTGACCAACCTAAAACATTGCAAATAAAAGTGACAAAAGTACCAAATACAACCTAAATTTCATGACTTGGGGCAGTATTTGCTACAAAGTGTGTACAAGAGTCTATTATATGTAACCTAATCAGTTTTCCTATTTATGGATTTCTGATTTGTTTCTTTTTCATTGGGCTTTGATGATGTGCATTTTGGCAGTTCCCCGGCTGGCAGGTGACTCGGATGCCTACTTGAATAATTCATACCTGGAATGTAGCTTGGATGCCTATCTAAGTGGTGACGAGCTAGATCAATGGCTCTATTGCATAACTGAATGGTGATGAGCTGAAGCGGTGGCTCTGATGCGACCTACAAGGACACAGTGCCGGAGTGCCCGGGTTGCTTTACCCGGGGTGGGTATTCTGATGCTTAAGTTAGCGAATCAGAGATTTTAAAATAGCTAAATGTGAGAGAGCTGAAGAGCTACGAGAACTAAATTGCGCATCTACCCCCTGTAGTTGGAAGTAAGGCCTTTATATAGGCATTGTTTGGCATGAGCATCACGCAACACGTCCGGGATCTACGGGAGGATGTGCCTAACTAGTTTGAAGTCTCGGAGGTAGTCGTGCACGTAGGCTAATATTTGCGCCTTACTCGGTATCTTCCAAAACATTCGGTGTGAGAGCTGACTTTCGAGAGACCCGGGAGTGATGGGATGCATGCAGAAATCGACGGTGAGCACGTCTCGTAGATCGCCAAGTCGGCGCTAGAGGTAGGTCGCCAAGTCGGCGGTGGAGGCAGGTCGCCAGATCGGCAACAGGGGTAGGTCACCAGGTCAGCGCTAGAGGAGGTCACCAGGTCGGCACTAGAGGCTGGTTGGCACTAGGGGCAGGTCGCCAGGTCGACGACATGCCACGTCTCTAGTTGGGACTCCATCATTTTGGCTAATGCAAATTGTCGCCTAAGTAGTTATGGGTGTCACCCAGTTATTCCGAGATGCCATGTATCATATATTAGTGAAGGGTCAAATCTACCGCTTTGTTACCAATTTTAAATGCCTTGTTTGTAGTAGATCTTGAATCTCTATTGGATTGGCAGCAATATATTCTACATACTTTAAATGCAGTTTTATTTTTCTTTTTTAATTTTTAAAAACTAGGAAAAAATACGGTCTATTTAAACTCTCCCACAGGCTAGATACCACAACCCATTCAATTTCACAAGCTGTATTTAGTTTGAAGGAAAATGAAAGGAAAGAATGAAAAGTTAGAAAAATCCATATGCAAGCTTTGTATAAGTTTTCCTTCCTGATGGCCTAAACTGACTTATAGAAAGTATGGCCACCTTTTTTAATGCAAGCCACATGTCTAAAGTACAGATAGCATAAAACGATGGGTATATGTATTACCTTAGCACAAAAAGAAGCAAGTCCAGGTTTCCTATATTATAGGGGAATTTTGCACATGAAATTCTGACTTACTATATTATATAGTAAGTGGATCGGTAGATACTGAGTAATCCAAGCCACTAACCTACTACCTTTCGGAGTCTCCACTTGATTTAATTATTAACCTAATGTCCTTTTGGAGTGTGGTTTTCAAAACCGGATTAGACCAGATGGTTAGACCGGAAAAACTGGGAATTGGTCAGGTGATCGATTCCGTTTTACCTTAGAACCGTTATATATTTTGCCAAAAAATGTTGATTTGGTCAGCAAAAGCTGGTTTTGTTTTACCCTAAAACAGTTGCTGGGTCAAAAATTATAGATTGGGTCAGCAACCTGATGACCCGGGCAGTCGAAGCATAGACCCATCAACTTAGACAACAGTTTTCGGCTGTTTTTTTTGTTATTTTTTTAAAGGGAATTGTCTAAAACTCACCATGAGTTTTCAATATTTCTCTTAAACTCACCACAACTTTTCAAAATGTCTAAAACTCACCATGTCAGTAAGTTTTTATTTTCCAAAACTTTCCTTCCGTTAGTGCACCGTTAATGCTTCTTAACAGAGGTGTCCATGTCAGCCTAAATAGCAATTTTCATGACCAAATTACCCTTGAATGGTGAGTCAGAGGAAAAATGGTCTTTTTCAGTTTTCAATTCTCTCTTTTTTTTTTTTTTGCATTTTTAGTGTTTTGTTATAATTTCCAATGTCTTTTATAATTTCTGTTTTTTTTACATTTTCTATTTTCTACAATCTATAAATTTTTCCTGTATTTTTTGTTATTTATTTGCAATTTCTGTGTTTTCTATAAATTTTCGTGTTTTTTCTACAATTTTTATTTTCTGATTTTGTTTTTCAATTTCTATAATTTTTATACTTTTTGTAATTTCTATATTTTTATGTATTTTTTATTTAAAAATATATTTTTAAACTTTTTCTTTTTTCATGTCTAAATATTAAAATGGTAATATATTAATACCCGTTAATTCATTTTGTATATATTTTATATTTTATTAACACCCGTTAGTCTATTTAACGTCAAGTTAATGACATGGTGAGTTTTAAACATTTTGAATAGTTGTGACGAATTTAATAGAAATGCTAAAAACTCATGATAAATTTTAAACAATTTCCCTTTTTTAAGTCAGAATGGACTGTCCATTCCGAAAGACCGATCGTACTGTTTAACCCGGGAACCGGTGACCAAAATAATTCTATATCCACTTTTTAAAACCCTGATCGGATGTAATCTCTACTGCTAATGCACAAATTTAAGAAATACTCTTCCCACGTTTCAACATCCCCATTCCCCACTGACCAGCGACTGCACCAGTACAACATGTAGACAGCCAAGGCAGCTGGTCCCCTCCCCCAACCGACATGTTTAAAATTAATGTGGATCGTCATTAGGAATAGCAATTAAGGGAGAATTTGTCTTGGGCAGAGCTATTCAGTTGCCAGTAATCTCCACCGACAAAGATGAAGCTTTTGCTCTCTTCTATGCTCTTAAATTTTCCTGTTAGTTAAGCCTCATACACATTCTCGTTTGATAGTGATTGTTTAGCTCTAACTAAACTTCTATTAGTGAAACATGATCTATCATGGGATATCTCTACACTAGAAGATCATCCAACAAGATTGTTCATAGTATGGCAAAGTTTAATTTGTTCAATTCTCATGATCTATTGTTAATGATTTCTGGAAAAGTACTTATTTTGGATTGAGATCACACCGATAATCATTTAATTTATGTTTATGAAATAAGCCCTGAAAATAAGCAAATAAATCAAAGTTTTTAAAACCAACCTAGACAACGAACCGGTCAAGGGCCTGGTTCTTGGGTCGAATAGTCCAACCGTTTGAACTGAACGGTTGGTCCATTTTGACAAAAAAAAATAAAAAAAATAAAAAAACAGTTAAAACCATTAAATGGTTCAAACGGTCCGATCGCCCAGGTCAGCGGTTTGCTGACCAAATCAATGTTTTTTGCCAAAAATCCGGTTTTGGAGAAAAACGAAACCAATCACCTGACCAGTTCCTGGTTTTTCTGGTTCGACCGTCCAATCCAATCTGGTTTTGAAAACCATGAAATAAATAGTGATTATTAGTTTGCAGGCCCATCTTCATCCTCCACGCCATCTTAAAAATACTTATTTTATTCTTGTTTAAGATAAATATATTTTAGCAAATTTAAGCATTAGTAATTACTTATCAAATAAGCACTCCCAAACATGAGATTAATGGTTCGGCCCAGAGGCACTAGACTAGAGTTTTAGTCCTTTTTAAGTGGTATATAGACGATATTTTTATGGTAATGGACTATATTAGCTAATGTCTTGTCATCTCATGTGAGACCTTTTGAATCAAGGTGACAAAATTAATCTTAGGGTTGAGTTTTTAGCATAGCAATAGTGCAGTTAGAGGTGGATTCGAGTCAAGTTAAGCTGAATATCTAGTTAATCGAACTCGGTTTGTCAGTAAGGTATGAGATTTGAGCTAAATTCAAATTAGAGATTTGAGTTTGAATTTAACTAAAATCGAAAGCTCGTAAGTTTGAATTCGACTCAGCTTGAGTTCAACTGTGAGCCAAACATTGTATAAAATAAAAAGTAATATATAAAAGTTATTTTTTATTTAAATATATAAAGTTAATTATTATTACATATAAAATTAAAAAAATTATATGTATATTTACAAAAATTTGATTAAATTTGCGTGCCTTACGAATGTAGCTTTATTGGAATCTAAACAAAATTAGACTCGAATTCGGCTTGAAGAGTGAGGCCGAGCCCAATTGAACTTTTTAGAAACCGAATATTTGGAGAAAAGCTCCACCTCCACTCGTGGCCACTAAGTGTAATACACATCTGTCGATGGTGCACGCAAATTGTATAAAAATGAATGTCCGAACGTGATATGTTCCTTCATTAAATAATAAATACTGGACAACGACCCCACCTACACTGAATATTGAGAAATGCGGGTGAGACTCTGGATCTATCTTATTAATTACTGCCTTCCTGCATTCCTTTTTTTTTTTTGTTAATTTTGTAATACAATCATAAACCAACGATACCACGCAGGAGCAGGACGCAACCCTCCCTCCCCGGCGAATCAGCGATTAGTTTTATTATAATGTTTACGAAGAAATCCTCTCTCTCTTTCTCCCTCTCCCGACACCTCTGTAGTTAGTCTCCCCTCTTCCCGATATTCCGCAAACGAAGAAGGAAAGAGAACATTGTAACATGGAAGGCGTGTCTGCGAGTTTATACAAGGGCTTCAGAGGGTATTGGAAGAGAAGGAAGTACGAGCGTTTGGACGGGGCTGGACCCCGGCGAAAAACCCGGGTGGAGCTCGCCGGGGCAGGTTCCAACCGAAGGAGGCGTTTTTGGCGCATCAGGGTCACCCCCAAACTCCGCTTCTTCCACCACCTCTCCCCCAAGAAGCTTCTCATCCGACTTCGGGATGCCTATGTTAAGATGATGCTTGGGTTCGCCAATTCCAGGGTGTTCAGCGCTGGGTTCGGTGGTGGTGGCGCGGTTGGAGCAGGCTTTGGGTTCGGGAGGCCTTCCTTGAAAGAGTATGACGAGAAAGTGCTGATTGAAATTTATAAATCTCTGATGGCTCAGCGACAGTTAGTGCCTCAGGATGCAGGCAGATTGGCTGCCCAGATCTCATGTCGACGGTGAAAACTATAAGGGGTTTTCCTTTTCGACTTCCCTTTCTTTGTCCCTCTCACTTCTCTCTCTGCTTGTCGTTTATGTCGCTCCTTTCGTTTGTAACTAAAATAATATCTCTACTCCTTTGTGGCTGTGAGTAGGATTTCTGAAAATCTATTTTTACTATTCAGAATTGAAGAAGTATTTGGAAATCTCTAATCGTCCGCAGCCATTATCTGTTTTCTCTACACAACAAGTATTCGATTTAATTCCTGGTTTTGTTTTTGCTTTATTTTTATTTTTGTTTCGTTGGGGCGACAATGTTAATAGATCCGAGTCTTCCGATGATCTAAATTCCATTGAATTCTTGGTATTTTCCCCATATGCTCATAAACGAATTAACAATGAATTGTGCTCCCAAAATCAACAGAGATGAAATGATACATCGAGTAGTATCAAGTTAAAAATTCTACTTCTTTTCTGTGTTTCATTTTTAGTTTCGGGGATTGTGATTCTGGTCTTCCAACTATAAGTTAATAATGAGGTACTTTATCTGCATTTTAGGATCCAGGAGGGAGAGACTACGTGGTATTTTCTTTTTTTGTAATTTTTGGATATAGATATATACCGTATAAATACATATAAAATATAAGATTTTGTATTCTATATATTTGTACTCCTTCCAAACTGAGATGTATTCTTCTTACAAATTACAAAGACCCCTCCTATATTATAGGGTAAGTGACAAATGCCCCTATCAACTTTCACTTCATGATAAATACTACCTTCTGCTATATGTTATAGTTTAGAGTTCTGTCAGATAACTTAAAAGAAGATTTTTTTTTTCTTTTTAAATCCCCAAACAATCCTTTCCTTTTTTATTTAAACAATTTATGATTGGATTGGTTTTTTAAATATAACCATGAAGTCCTCTCGATTGCTTTAATTGATCTTTGCAGATTTATAGCTACATTCAATATTAAAATGAATTGGTACAAGTTTCTTTTTGATAGGTATAAAATCTTTTTTTCTATGCTAATAAAATGATTCTTTCGTGAAAATGAAGTTTTTTTTTTTTTTTTTTGCAATTAACCTTTAAGAGAAAAGGACGAGGAAAAGAAAATAAGGAAAATTCAGATGAGCATTTTAGTAATTTAATATATTTTGGCATTTAACTAGAGGTATTTATCAGAAAGTAAAAGTTCAGAAGGCCTTTATCAAAAAGAAAAGTTTAAGAGGGTATTTGTGTCATTCATCCCAATATCCCATTAGTAATTGGGGTCTTTATCATTTACCTTTTTCGTTTTTATTGTTTTTTGATAAATAATCTGCTTGACTTATGGCATGTTTTCAACTCCTAAACATTCTCTTACTTTTTCTCTCTCAACCCAAAAGGTAAAAACTGTTTTTTGTTCCCAAAGATTCTCTCCTACGTACAAGTTACTTAGTGGGTGTAGGGACTCTGGGTCCCGGAGGTGGGAATAGGGCTAGGTGCAGGGGAGGCCCATTGGCTCCACAAGGTTTATCTTAGCCCACTTGACTGTCAATGGGCCGGGCCTACCCAACAGAGCCAAACCAATCATATGAGTTCTGGTTCGAGTTATGTGTCCCAGGTCCAAATTATAATTGGATCGGACCATTTTTTTTCTATTCGAAACGGATTAAGATCCGAACTGATTTGTATTTAATAATACATACATTAGACTTTTAATTTTTATTATATTTGATGTTTCATACAGTATATAAGATAATTTTTGTTAAAAAAAACTACATGTTTCATTGTCATTTAAACAGTTTACTAATTATTAGTTCTTTTTAGTATAATCAGGATTCAGGTCTACTCTGGTCAAACCCAGTTATTCCAATTAATAGTTGGCACGTGTTAGTTCTGACTTCTGAGTTTTGTGTCAAGAATATATATTTGGGTTCGGATTCAACCCAAACCATTGATGTAAATGCAGGGGAGTACAAATGGATTCTATGTAAATTCCGGTTTCCCTTTGCTTCGAAGTTACAAACAAATGCATGCAAATTTGAACCGTGTACAAAATCTTTATTTGATCAAGGTTTACATTGCAAACAAAAATAAATCATAGTTTACACTATCCATTTGCACTCTCATGCATAATTGACTCATTCCAAACAAATGTACACAAGTGCGAACTAGATCCAAATTCCACATCTGATTGAGATTTGCAAAGCAGACAAACAGAGACTGAGGATCATTAATGGTCTGGTTGTGCAATTTCATGCATTGATTGATGTCTTCATTTTAAGCCCATGACCCACGTACCATCCTTCTCATTTACACCTAAGCCCATTACTCAAACCAGTCAGTTTATTTAGAAATTACCCACCCAAAGCAGAAAAAAAAAACAGGTTAATCTTAGCTCCACCCATTCACACCAAAAGTAGAGAGAAAAGGAATCGGTATTCCTCCAAATTATGGACCTTGAAGCAGTAGACCAGTCTTCCAACATCCACAAACATTTCTCAACCCATTTGTTACCAAATTGGGAAATTCAAATGCACACACGAATTTGCACTTCTCATCAGGCTTGAGCAATGAGCCCAAGGGCTGGGTCCCTTCAAATTTCAACAAATAATGCTCAACCCGAGTATTCCCAAGTTGCATCCTTAGCCTATGTTTGGTTTGAAGAAAAAGGTATAAAAAGGAAGGGAAATGTAGGGAAATTTATACAAGGTTTGTAAAGGTTTTTCTACCTTTCCCTACTATTTTGTTCAAACCAAACACAATCATAGTGTCAATGGAATGATGGTGGAGGTGAACTTTTGTCAACGACACATAATTTCCAGTTACAAACTTACGATGATTTACCCAGATTTGCTGGTTTTTTCTCAATGGCACTCCCATTTACTTGGCTTTAGGCTAAGGATTATTGAGCTGAGTTTGGTTTCTATAACTGAGTAGTTGGTGAAGTTCAACAAATTTGGGCTCAGGCCCATGACCAAATTGGCACCCTCTATTATAAAACTGTTAATGGGTCGGGTCTGGTTCAGGACAGGGTGGATCAGTCCTAAACAGGTTATTAATCAGTTCCATAAGACAAACCCAGAACCAATCCTATTGTTAATCGGGTTACTCCGGTCTGACCTGACTAGACCCAATTATACTTGACATCGATAATAACGTACGAGAATAACATATTAGAACTTCATTTTTTATTTTATAAAATAACTTCAACAAAAATGACAGTAAAATAATAAATTGCTTATATGCTGATGAAATAAGTGTTTTTAACGAAAACCACTTCTATACCATCTATGAAACTTATCCAATTAGACATAAAACATAACAAAATTACAAGAAAAACCAGGAGACCTCTATACATTATTAACTAAATAATCAGTTTGGAGAAACAAGAACCAATCCCAACCCAATTATTAATCCAGATAAACACGGAATTAAAACCAACATAATCAATTTGATCAGTTTTTTTTTTTTTTTCTATTGGATAGACCCAACCCATTGACCTCTTTACCCTATTACCACTGTATCAACTTGTTGAGTTTTTAGACTGCAGGAATGCTGTTCTCACTGAAATGGAATTGAACCCTTTCTTTACATCCCTCCCTCCCAAGTTTATGTTTCTTTCAATTTGTGGAGTTTGTGAAAAAATCAATTGGGCCAGTTCTTAGCCTATGTTTGTTTTGACGGGAAAAGTAGGGAAATCTTTACAACCCTTAGGAATATTGTCCAAGGATTTATTAGTACTCGGCATTGTTTTTAAAACCGTTTTCCTCTAAAATCGTTTTATCCCCTAAAACCGTTGATTTTGATCAGTAAACCGCTGAACCGGCCGATTAACCATTCGAACCGTTTGAACTGTTTGAATGGTTTTGACCATTTTCCATTTTTTTATTTTTTTTGTCAGAATGAACTGGCCGTTCGAGTCGAACGGTCTGACCGTTCAAACCGATAACCGGACCCCTGATCGGTTCGATCACCAGTTCATTTTTAAAAACCATGGTACTCGGGGTTTGAATAACTAAATTAGGTACAATAGTAGTAAGATGATCACTCTGAACACCTCCATCTTTCACAGCTTCAACTTCATCTTGATCCAAACTAGTATATATTACTGACAGGAACCACAAAATGGAATTAGATCCATTTGGACTAAACATTCAGTATGCTGAAAGATGTATTTTACTATCGGTTGATTGACCTCATTCTCCCTTTAACTTCTTTCCTTCCTTCTTGATCCTGTTAGGGCATTCCTTTTTAATCATGGCCAAGTTTATAGCAAAAACTACCATATTTGGGAAGATCCTCATACACAATCTTCTACCAAAATCCTTCCTTGGCAACACCAATCCAAACAATATTAGGGTTTTCTTTCAACAAATCAACCTCCATGAAAACCTTAGCGACTATTATGCGGGTAAGTCGAACAGTCCCAAGATCAACCCACAAATCTCTCCCTGCAACTTAGGCAATGGAACGAATAAACCATTCATTGTAAAAATTAACTGCAATCCTAGAAAATTTGTCCAAATGGGAACCATAGAAATCGTAGAAACATATCCAAATGTGAACCATAGAAGGTTCACAACCCAACTCCAAGCATGGCATCCATTGAAGAAATTGAAACAAAAAGTTTTTGATCACTACCACTTCTATTGCAGCTTTGAAAGCAAACGTCCTTACAAGAAACTCTCTAATCTCCGCCATAGATTGATGATCATACACATATTTTCCTACGAAGGCAAACTACAAAGGATCTAAAGATTTTTCTATCTCTTCATCTGAAAACAACATTATAGTCTCCCATCAATTGAGAATAGGAGTACGAATAGAAATATCAATCAACTTCGGATCTACAACATTGGAGAACAGGGGGTCGAAGAAGATGAAATAATCGAAGCAAAGGACATTTGTCAAGGGATATTCCCCGGCAGCAGCTTTCCGGCCCATAGAGAAAACCTATGTTATGTAAAAAAATAAAAAAATAAAAAAATAAAATGTCAGAAGGATTCCATCTTAATTTTAGCTTTAAACTATTGTA